ATAAGCAATTATATATAATGATATAAATAAATAAATAAATAAATACTGAACAATTATTGACGTTAGCGTCTACTTCAAAATTAAGGAACAAATGTAAGTAAAGAAAGAAGCAAACAAAGATAAAATAAAAGATCTAATTACACTTCAAGGATTGCACTATATTCTGATACTTTAAAAGATTTATCAAGATATATTTACGGTAGGAAAGTTACAAAATACCTTCATGGAACATGATCTTTACTTAATATCCTAATGATTTTTGGCATAAAAGACAAATCGATAATTTTGACCCATACAATGTTTTTTTGGCTATTGCTAAAAATATACCCCAGCGACTTAAGACTGGTTTTGTGCTCCAGGGTCACACACACACATATATATATATATATATACCATATACCATCTTTTCTGCAGGATGTCCAAACAGAGGTTCCTTCTCACCTGCTGCATCTGAAGGTGGAGCTGGAGAAGAGTCGTCTGATGGCGTCAGTGCAGGAGTGTCAGGCTGAAGTGGCCCGTGAGAACCGCAGTCTGCCCAGCATGGGCAGCGAGAGGTTAATCAAAGAGCACAGGGTGAGAGCCACCAGCATTACACCCCTCTATAAGCATTCTTTCTGACCTTGGAAATAGGCAATGCTTATATTGGATATTTTTATGTAGATGTTTTTTAAGGAAAAGGGTCCACAGGCTCTTTGTGAGAAGCGCTTACAGCATATGGAGGAGATGTGCTCGAAGCTTCCGGAGAGCGAACAAGCCCGGCAAACTTTAGAGAACGTCAGTACAGCGTTTGCAGAGGTCAAAGAGGATATTGACAGCACACATCAGAAACTAATGCAGCACCCGGACAAATGGAAGGAGTTTAATACCAGGTGAACCTTTGGTCCTTTGAATATTGAATTTTAATTGGTTAGAAAATTAATATTCAGTAATATTATCCATTTAACTCCACTATCGGATAAGAATATTTGAATTAAGAAGGATTATGACACTGATTTTAGCAGTTATTGAACTGAATTGAATCAATATTGAATGGATTTGAGCTGAATAATCACACTATTTTCTTCTGTAAAGCTGTTTATAGCTCAATTAAGCTCATTTCATAATTGCATTAAAGGGTTAGTTCACCCAAAAATGAAAATTCTGTCATTAATTACTCACCCTCGTGTTGTTTCG